CGCGGGGCGGGGCTGCTCTTTCTCGGGACTTGACCTCCCGGCCGCGCGCGGCCGCTGGACCCGGCGCTGTACATGCGCCCCAGAAATGACCCCCAGGTATACGCTCTTCGTCGGATTCGCAGATGCGGACACGGAGGGGCGACGTCCCTTTCCCAGGCCGAGTAGCTGGTGCAGCTGCTCGGCCCGCCTCCTCTTTAGGGGATCCCCATGCCCAGCCTCATCCCCGAGTCTTGCCTCCTCCTGTTGAGTCGGTTGCCCAGGCCGATGTCTTCCTCGTGGGTGGCAGGAGAGGGGACTGAAAGTCTCCGAGGGCCCTCAGCAGGCAAAGAGGTCCCCCACCCACTACCCCACAGACAGCTGCGTGTTGGGAATGGAGAGCGACCTCCCCGTTCCAGTGCGAGCAGGGGCCCCGGGAAGTACGCGCATCTGTCTCCTCCCCCGGCCTTCTGGGACTGGTATCCTGCAGTGTCGGGAGTCACGGACACGACCTTGAGAGTTGGGGGCTGATGGGCCTTAGGGGCAGCCAGAAGAGGCCGGAGAGCCCTGCGCTTCCCTGTCAAGCGGACCCTTCTCTCCTTCGGGCCACCTTCCCCCCCAAAGTCGGCTCCCTGGGGATGGACGAGGCACGAATACTTTTCAGTGTGCCAGGTAGGCTGAATGAAGGCGAAACTGAAATCCACTGTGGGACCCGGGAAAGACCCTGCCCCTCTTTGGGACTCCGTTTCCCCTTTCCTCATCTGCAAAAAGAGAGTTGGACCAATGCCTCCTCCCCTTCAGCTCTGACATCAAGCTTGGAAATGGTTAGTTTCCTGCCCCTTCTCGCCACTCCCCAGCAAGAGGTCAAGCCTGACTTCTCAGCCCGGAAAGCCCTTCTAAGCTGCGCGGGATCCCGAAAGGTTCCGCCCGGTGGGTCCACACTCCCTTGCCCGATCCCGTTTCCCAAAAATACGGCCATGGGCGCCCTCTGGTGTCGCCTTTCCCATCTTGCAGTCATTTACTAGAATTCCCGTAGGGCGTTTTGTAAAATAAAAAAACTATAATAATATTAATGAAAAGTACAAAGTGTATAGAGTTTTCAAGAAACTGTGTTCTACTTCCAGAAAATGGTCACTTTAACTTTGTAAATATTTATCTAAAATGATATTTACGAAACTGTGATATATATTATTTGATTGTATATGTACAACTGTAAATACATTTGTACCTCTCTTGTATTCTAAAATAAAAATCACTTGGAACATTTATCACTTGGCATCTGAATGAGTTGACGCTTTCATCTGCATGAAAAATAAGTATGGAAAGTGCCTAGAAGTTGGAGAGAGGGCCGGAAGAGTTGTTCCACTGACTGGCTTTGAAAGTCACCATTGTCACAACTAGGGTGTCAGCTCTCAAAGAGACAGCCACAGTGCAGAACAACCAGAAACCTAGCAAGGGGCTGGGCATATTCCCTGCGGTTCCAGCTGACTCTCGAATATCAGTGTCTTGCTTTGATACGGCCCCCACATCTTTACTTACCTTTTTTCTCTTTTTTTCATTTTCATGGACATCTTGAAGGAATCCAAGCAGCCAGTGCAGGTGGCCCAAGATGGACACCAGGTGCCCTCCCCACATGAAGAATTTCCAAATGCTCTGGGCACCCATTTCCAGATCCTCCTTGAGGAAGACAGAGAGCAAGGATGCCATCAATGTAGGGCCAGGCCTTGGCTCCCATCTGCAGCACCTCCTGGCCAGGAGGAGGAGTACAAACTGGGAAATGTGAGTTCACACCTGTGCTCAGGCATGTGTCAGCTGTGAGGCTGTCACCTAACCCACTGGCATTCCTCAGGCACACCTCTCTGTGCATCCTTGTCTAGCCGTGCGTGCACACGCACACACACATACATACACACACACACACCTGAAGACACTGAAATTCACACTTGTACACACAAGCCATTACCATTTGGAGCTTCATGTACTCCCAAAGACCCCCATACTTTTGGTCTTGCACCCTGGCGATGGCACAGGCAGAGATGCACCCTTGATGCGTTCACCTCAGGTTCCCTTGAGAGTTCCTTCCTTGGGCCAGTGGGGAAAGTCACCCTTGGTACTCCTCCTCCTCCTGCCATTAAAAACCCTGCCTCTCCTTTGATACCTTCACCTGACCTTACCCTCCTCTCACTGCAGCCCCCACCCAGGTCTCTTGTTTCCATGACCAAAGCTATCTGTCCTGAATCCCTTTCCCTCCAGGTGCTGATGGGAGAAGTAGAATTAAGCACCTTCCTGGCCCACATGTCATGCCTCCAGACTAATGCTGGCTTCCTGAAGAAGGGTCTGCAAGTGTTAGACTTCAGGGAAGTCCATGGTCCCTTGATCAAAAATCAGATTCATCTCTGTAGGTAATTCTGTTCCGTGAAGTCCCAGCTACAGGTCACAGGAGCCACAGCCCTGACTCCAGAACCCGCCTGGTGGCAGCAGGCTGTAATTGCAGACTAGAGTGCATCTGCTGTGCCTACTTCTGACCTGTTTCTACAGAAGTGTGCTGGCGTTGGAGATACTGCGATGAGCAGAGTATCAGGCCACACTGGTGGGAGGCCTGACACTCAAAGCCTCATCTCTTACCTTGCTTGCATTTCCAGCAGAGGTCTCAGGCTCCTTTCCTGAAGTGCGCGCCCCCTTCTCCCCACAAGAGCAAACACAGCTGCAGCATTTTGGGGGCTTCAGGATTTAAATGTATGCATTCCAGGAACCCTTCCCATAAACCCATGAGCCTGCTGCTTCTCCCGTCCTCCTGTCCCCGCCCCACCCCCGTGTTCTATTATGTCCATCTGACATATGAGAAAACTGAGGTATAGAGGAAGTCATTTCCTCATGTCACTCAGCCAATGAGTGGCAGAGTAGATTTCACCATGGCAACTGACCCCAGAAGCCATACTTATGACCAGTAGGCTACACCACCTCCTAGTCAGCCTGCAGATTCAGTCCGAAGTTGCTCTGCATGTCCCAGTGTAGACCAGCACTATTGACCTTGTATCATTGAACTTTGCAAAACTCACTTATTTACTCTAGTAGCTTTTTTGGGGTAGATTCTTTATGACTTCTATGGAAGTACACGATCATAGAAGTTGTCTGTGAATAAAGGCAGTTTTCCTTCTTCCTTTCCAATCCAGATGCCTTTGATTTCCTTTCTATTGCATGGTTCAAGACCTCCAGGCATAGAGGATTCTAGGTAGAGGCCACTGGTCCACTTTGAAACCCTGCTTGACAATTCACTAGCTGTGTGACCTTGGACAAATCAATTAATGTCTCTGTGCCTCAGGTTCCTCAAATGGAAAATGGGGTGATACTCAGCTCCTAAGGATGTTGGGAGGATTAAGTGGGAGAATGTATATAAATGAATAAAGCACATGGCTTGGATCCTGACCTAGTACATAGTAAATGCTCAATAAATGGGAGCTGTTGTTGATACTAGGATGCCTTTGGTGGGTGAGAAAGATTGTAGCTACTTCTACCACGCACTCTGCTGGGCCCTCCCCAGAGGGCATCTAAAGCAGCTGTCCCTCCCTCTTCTCCTGCCCTATCCTATAGCCAGTATCCTTGGATCTCTTGAAATGGAGGAACAGATATCATGAGCTTTCAGCTTCCTTCCCACCTTGGAGCTGGTCTCCTGGGACATGTGCCTGTGGAGGGTGGGGCAAGTTATGGATGGTGGCTGGTTAGCACCTGTCCTGACCTACAACATGGCTGCCTCCAGAAGTCAGACTTCTTGCACATTGGCTCAGGGCTTCACGGGCACATGTTCCGAGAGAACCAGGTGGAAGCCGCATGGTCTATTCTGACCCACCCTTGGAGTCACATAGAGGCACTTCTGACATGTGTGAACTATCAAAGCAGTCACAAACCTGCTGGATGCAAGAGGAGAGGCCCAGACCCCACTTCTTGATTGAAAAAGGGTTAAAAATTTTGTACATGTGCTTAAAGCCTGCCACAGACATCGAGGCTACTTCTTACATTTTAAGGAGAGCAGTGCTTCAGTGAAGGTCGTTGGGTAGAAATCTTTGTGTCCATCTCTGATTAGAAAATTTCTACAGTAACTTTAACCATTTAATGGAACCAAAGATGAAGACAGAAAATAGATCAGGACTGGGTAAGGGCTCAGGGCCTGAGAGTGCCTGCTGCCTCTGTGTTCACACTTTCCAAGATTTCCTTGTTGGTTACTTTCACTCCAAGTTCACCTGTGCCCCTCAACCCAACTCCCCAGTGTCAACAGCCCCTTTCCTTCAAGGCTCACTCAAATGGCACTTCAGTCACAAGACCTTTTCTGTCCTCTTTTCAGCCCCTGTCCCTGAGATCCTGACCCAGCGCCTCGAGGTCTGGGGCAGTAAATGTGCAGGAAATGCTTGCTGAATAAGCTTATTCATCTGTTCCACAAATGTTTATTGGGTGCTCTTCTAAGGATACCTGGGATTTGTTTTAATCAGGTATGGAGAGACATGCAAACATGGAAATGACTGTCATGAAGGAAGAAGTTCATTATACTCACAATTCCCTAGAAACAGGAGGCACGGCACACAGACACGAGGAAGGGCCACCCGGGGAAGCACCTGGGGGGTCAGTCAGAAGGCGGAGCAAGCAAGGAGCACGTGGGGAAGAGCCTTTACTAGGGTTTCCATGGGAAGGAATGGGGGAGGCAGGGAAAGCAGGTTTAGGATTGGCTGTTTTGAATAATTTCAGTGGGCTCTGAGGCCTAGGGCCCACCCCTAGTTGTCTGGTACAGAGCCCTGGAGTGATTAGGGCAGGCACGTAGTGGTCCAGAGTGTGAGAGCCTCATGGTGGTGGTGTGGGCTCCGGATTCATAGGTTTGGCTAGAAAGACACACTCCTGGCCAACTGCTCACCATCTCTAGGAACTGGCTGACCCTGGGAGAGGCAGTCCTTCCAGGGTCAGCAAGGCCCCGAAATGTCCAAACATCAGAGCAGAGAAAATAGAAGATGTAACAGATAGTTCTAGGGGCTGGGCAGCGAACAAAACAGATGAAGTCTGGGTGCTGTGGGGCTCATATCCTGTAGGGAAGAAACGTGGTGAGTAAACAAGCAAGCAAACATTTGTTTGTAAATGTATCTAATTTTTAAACAAATATTTTATGACTGTCCTCTCTATGGCAAATGAACAAAACAGATAAAGGCCCTGTCCTCAGAGGACTGCCATTGTAGTGGAAGAAGACTGCAATAAACAAAAAGAAAATTCAGTGACAAGAAAGAAAACAGAGTCAAGGGATAAAAAAGGGGCTAAGGATTATTCCAGATAAGGTAGTCAGCGTAGTCTTCTCTGAGGAGGTGATATTTGAGCTGAGATCTGAGTGAGAAGCAGTCAGCTACACAAAGACCAGGGGAGGAGAATTCCACGCACGCAGATCCTGCTATGTAGTGAGGAAGGGAGTGAATTAGGAGGTGGGGGAGGTCAGAGATGGGCAGAGCAGGGCAAAGATGAGTTTGGATTTTATTCTTAGTGGACAGGGAAGCTGCCGGAAGTGTTCTAAGCAAATGGTTTAATCTGATCTGTTTTTAAAAGCTCCCTCTGGCTGCTGTATGGAAATTGGGAAGTAGGAGGGGTAAATGTAGAATTAGGGAGCTGAGTTAGGAGGTGATGCCCAGGGGAGAGATGACATTGACCTGCTTGGGGTGATGGCCTCAGAGATGCACTGATGGGGAGGTAGACGGATGTGGGAGGAACTGGTGAATGTTAGACCTGATCGGCAATCACAGTCACACAGGGAGTTGGTATCCTACCGTATAGCACAGGGAACTATATTCAATATCTTGTAATAACCTATAATGAAAAAGAATCTGAAAAAATAGATGTGTATGTGTGTGTGTGTGTATATATATATATATGTAAAATGAATCACTTTACTGTACACCTGAAACATTGTAAATCAACTACACTTCAATTTAAAAAAATTCATAGGGAGTTAAAATACATGCTCACAGACTCCTGTACCCCACTTTGCAGAGCCCCAGTGCCTAAATCTGGGCTCAGGAATCAGTATATCTAACAAGCCTCTCTGGGATGTGGGCTGTTTCCGGGTGCCCACTCGTGTGAAGAGGCAAGTGTGATGCAGTGAAAGGGCCCTAGTGTGGAGTCTGGAGTCTTGGGTTCTAGCCTCAGCTGCAAACCTGTTGTTCAGACTCCGTGGCCCCAAACATCCATCAAAGACAGCAGTGCCCACCTCCGGATGGGCTGAGTGTGAGGAATTTATAACATGATGCTTGTAAAGTGTTTATTCAGCAAAGGCCCTCAAGAAATGCAAGCTCTGGGGTGGAGCAGGTACAGTCAGAAAGAACATGGCTCCATCACCAACTGGTACATGAATTCTAGTGCTTTTTGGGTCTTGGTTTCCTCCTCTTTAAAAAGGTATCTGCAAAGGACAGAATGTTTATGTCCCCCCATAAATTCATATATTAAAATCCTTACCCCCAAGGTGATGATATTAGGAGGTGGGGCCTTTGGGAAATGATTAGGTCATTAGGGTGGAGCCTTTATGAATGGGATTAATGCCCTTATAAAGAGACAGCTCTCTGAACCAGGAAGTGAGCTCTCACTGGACACTGAATCTGCCACTACGCTAAGACATATCTATAATCACAACGTTGTGGCAGGCTCCATAAAGGCAATGCCGTGAGAATGGGAGGGGTTGAGATTGTGTCCGTCCCTCCTGGGATGAAACTGGGGATGTCAAAACTATACCCCAGCCTTGGTCTAGGGATGCCCCCAGACCTACCGGCCCAGCTGACTGAGCTACTCTGACCCACCGCCCTCTTCTGGCTGAGGCGGGGTTCAACAGATGGACCCTTCTCATACATTCTTGGCTCTAGCCTCTTCCTCCAGTCAAGGAGGAGGGCAAGTGTCTGGCCTGACCACTTACTGATGACCTGTGGGGCACTAGAATTTATATCATTAACTGCCTCACAGGGCTGATTCTCTTGACAAGTGTAGTTGTGAGCCATGCTTAGGTGAAAGAAATGTGTCCTTTTGAAAATTTATCCAACAATTGGATCCAGGAGGCAGTAGACCTATTTACTGAGTTCAGTGTGTGGTGCTGATGCAAGTTATTTCATTTAATCCTCTTTAGAGTCCCTGTGCGTGAAGAATTACCATCTACAATTCCCTAAGGCTGAAATTCAGTTTGTTGTGGATACTACAAAGCATGCAGGGCAAGGGCGAGGGAGACAGTAGTGGGAAGTAGGGAGAGGGACTAGGGAAGTGCTCCTGACCCAGAGATAAAGCCACATATCCATCTATCTGTTCACCACTGAACTCTTAGCACAGCTCTTGGCTCAATTTGCTGTATGAGTAAATGTCAGCGAAGATCGCTGTATTATGTGTGCACTTGTCCTCCTTACCAAATACACCCACCTGGCAATGTTTGAATGTTTTCTTAGACCGTTTCTTGTTTGTTTGTTTGTTTGTTTGTTTGTTTTAAGCGATATTAGGATAAATCAGCCCACTTGAAAATAAAATCAGCACTTCGGGTTTGGGGTTGTAGGTGATGGCTGGTGTTGAATCAGCACCCACGGGGCGGCAGGAATGCAGACTATAGGGGCTCTTCTCTCTGTCCAAACGGTGTTTTCTGTAGATCCTACCTCCTGATCCTCCTGAGCAATCTCGTACAACCCTCCCTCCTCAAAAAATCAGATTTTGGCAGCTTAGAGTTGGAAGGAAACTCAGTTGGAAGGTCCATTTCTCAATTATCTTTAACCCTGGAAAACAAATGAGATGATGAGTACAAGAGAGTTTTGGTGAAAAGTCGAAAGCCGCACAACCTGAGATTTTAGTAGTCCATAGGTGCAGCCTTGCCAATAGTAAAAATGGCAACTCGGCTCCTTCCTTCCCTTCGTGCTAACCTGATAGTTGCCAATAGTCAGCATGGCCGCCAGACCGTGAGTTCCCATTGGCGGCTGCCCTGAGACCCCGCCCCACCCCGCCCCTCCCCGCCCCTCCGAGCGACGGCCGAGAATCGCGGAGACGGATATCGCGCTTCCGGCCCGGTCTGCGACTGCGCGACTTATTGGCGCCAAGATGGCGATGGAGATGAGGCTTCCCGTTCCCCGCAAGCCTGTTAGCGAGAGCCTGGGGCGCGAAACTAAGAAGCACCTGGTGGTGCCGGGGGACACGATCACCACGGACACAGGCTTCATGCGGTACGTGGGGACGTGGGAGAGCTCTGGGCCACAGAGGGCGGCTGCATTGCTCTCCGCACGTGGCTTGCTGGCCGAAACCTGGGCCTCTGACCTGTTGCATTTAAGTCCCCGCAGTACCCGAGCACATCAGCTGAGCATCTCAGTCGCCTCGTTTTCGAGTCCTGGGACTTCTCACTCATTGCATTTTGTGTGTCCCCGTCTGCACTTGTCTCAGCTTCCCCAAACCTTCCTCTCCTGATCTCTAGTGGCGGTGATTCTTGGGTCCTCTTCCTGAGGCCCAAATTCTGAGCCTTGATCGTTGGAGACTCAGAAAACTGGGGAGGGTTAGACTAGGAGCTGGGGCCTGTTAACAGTTCCGCTTAGGCGACTGTGGGCGTTTTGACTTGGCCCCCTTCTCCCTCAGCGTGATCTCCCAGCCCGGTGCACGGTTTGGGAACCAGTCATTGTTTGGGCTTAGGGCATACAAATATATTGTGTTACATGCACCCAAAAGAGAAAACATATTTTAGATAAGAGCCCATAGACAGGCCCCTGGGGCTGGACTTCCTGGCTGGCACCGTTCATAGGTCCCTTGCTCCTGATTTTTGCAGTTCTGCTATTTGGGCCCTGTGTCCTAAACTTCCTCACCTGCTTTGTCAGTTAGCGGATAGAGGCTATAAAACTTAAGATGTTAGCCTCCAATTATGAGCCCCTGCAACAGATAAGTGATGATGCTTACTCTAACTAGGGTTGTAAAGGCATCAAAAGAGGGGAATGTGGAGGAAAAGCCCGGCTG